TAGTCTGTATTTTATTCTTTAAAACTTGTTTTCACTTTTTTTTCTGATACAGACTAACCCACTTGATTGTATTATTTGCTCTTGTACCTGGATATCTTGCTTAATTCTCTCAACAGTTTCTGGTTTTGGATTAAGTTAGATGAGCTCTGAATGTGCTAAGGTCCCTCACATTTATTGAATTTTGCTGTGTACTACAGACAGTTGGGAGGTGCAATAATATACAATTTACAGATACTATTTTTAGATTTGATATCATATTATATCAAGGCAAACATATGCTCTCTGATCTATAGGGATTGGCTCTTTCTTTCTACCAACATTTACTCTTTGCTGTCCAATTTCTCTGACTTCAACTCCAGAGCATCGTTGAAGACAGATAACAAGAGGCCTGTTTGCAGAAAAAAAGCTTTCAATATTGTGTGTTAATTACGTTATTCGTTGCAGAGACTCTTCAGTATAAAAGAGCAACAACACTTGCTGGCGAGGATGCGAGTAAAAGGGAACCCTACTCCACTGCCGGAGGGACTGCAGGCGGGGGCAGCCTCTATGGTAAGCAGTTTGGAGAATACTCAGACAACTCAAAATCTACATACCACATGACCCAGCAATAGTACTTCAAGTAATATATCCAAAACACCTGTTACACAAGAAAGCAACATGCACCCTTATGTTTACAGCAGCATAATCAGTAATCACAAAAACTCGGAAGCAACCAAAATGCCCATCTACAGAAGACTGGATAAGGAAACTATGGCTCATCTACTCTATGGAATACTAGTCAGCTATTTAAGATAACAAAATACATTTGTTGGTGACCAAATGGGACCAACTGGAAAATATTACGCTAAGGGAAATGAGCCAATCCTAATAGGTCAGAGATCATGTTTGCCTTAATATAAGATAATACAATGTCAAATCTAAAAATAGCATCTGTAAATTGTACATTATTGCACCTCCAAACTGTCTATATTACACAATTTATCTTATTACAATAAGATATTGAGATGTAACCTATGAATCAATAATCAATGACAGATGGATGGCATATGATCACCTGAGGTTAACAGCCCTCTTATCATTGTTAGTGCTACTACGCAGGGGTAACGTGATCTAGTTTGTACTGCACTCCCATCTGAACCACACAGGTCATATGCTAGCATTAATTCCTACAGGAAGATGTTGGACATTCTTTTGCGCCACCCTACCATCACATCGATACCCCTGCTACGAGTTCGAGAACACCATGGAGAGAAGGCTCACTATTTAATTTTACTGAATTTTTTTTCCTTTTTTTTTCCCTCTCCACCTGAGGAACACTGTACTAAGGGAAGGTAAAATGGAAGTGCAGCGGCAATATGTCCACAGACAGAAACAGAGAGAAGTATATCCCCATACTTGCAATACAAGAATGGACTTACAGTGAAACAAGACAAGCCCCCACATTGTTGGGAGACCCCCTGACGGTGGTGTGATGGACTTCTGAGGGTACTCGGAAGACACCTAGTGAAAGGCTGGAGAGGAGAACAGTGTGGGGGAAGGGAAACCCAATGCCTATTACATTGCATCGTAAAATCAAAAAATTTTTTAAAAAGAAAGAGTAACTATTTCTTAGTATTTTAATAATTTTCTCATTTGTGACTAAATGTCTCACTTTTACTAAATGTTTTTAATCTCATCTAAATTGTTTATTTTTGTATTTAAATTCAAATGAATAACTTAATTTTTCTTGGAATATTAACTATCTCTGAGTCTCCTCATATTCTCATATGTATCTACTGTCTTTTGCACTTGGATTATGAATATTTTACATAAAATATTTTCCTCTTTATAAAAGAGTAATCTGTTTATTTCATATCCTGGACTGGCATTATCAATATAATGCTGGAGTAAGAAATTCAAGGACCCGGCACAAAGGCTAAATGGCTAAATCCTCACCATGCAAACACTGGGATCCCATGTGGGCGTTGGTTCATGTCCCGGCTGCTCCACTTCCCATTCAGATCCCTGTTTATGGCCTGGAAAAGTAGCAGAGGATGGCAAGAGCCTTCGGCCCCCTGGCTCCCAACTGTGATAGCCCTGGTCTTTGCAGCCATTTGGGGAGTGAACCAGTGGATGGAAGATCGTTCCGAGTGTCATCTCTGTAAATGTAATCTGCTCTTCCAATAAAATGGATAAATCTTAAAAAAAAATTCAAAAATATTCTGTTTATTGACACTCTGTGTGAGTCTGCAAAACTGATTTTTTTCCCTTAAAATTTGGGATGTTCTAGAAGTCTGGACCTGAACTATTGTGTGTGTGTAATTTATTTGTTCAATGCTTGTTTCGATTTTTCAAATACAGGTTCAACTTTCACAGTTTATATTAGTTTTGTAAATTACTACGTATTTGTGCTTTGGTAAGTTGACTTCCAAAACTGTGTGCTTTGCTCTTTTAAACCATCTTACTCCTGAAGTACCTCAGAGATTTATTTTAACATCTCGTCAAAATGTATAAGCTTTGTAAGAAATTATTTATATTTCTAAATCTGCTACTGTTATATAACTTTTTTTGTGTTAACAAATCATACTGGTTTCTATTAATCTTGTTAATATTTTATCGAAATGTTTTCCTTGTTTTCTTCTTTTGCATAGTTCTGAGTTATTTCATTGGTACCTGTTATTAATATTTTTTCAAGATTTATTTATTTATTTATTTATTTTTAAAGATTTATTTTTATTATTTTTTTATTGGAAAGGCGGATATACAGAGAGGAGAGACAGAGAGGAAGATCTTCCATCCAATGATTCACTCCCCAAGTGAGCGCAACGGGCCGATACTATGCCAATCCGAAGCCAGGAGCCTCTTCCGGGTCTCCCACGCGGGTGCAGGGTCCCAAAACTTTGGGCCGTCCTCGACTGCTTTCCCAGGCCACAGGCAGGGAGCTGGAAAGGAAGCGAGGCTGCCGGGATTAGAACCGGCGCCCATATGGGATCCTGGGCGTGCTAGGCAAGGACCTTAACCACTTGCGCCACTGCGTCAGGCCCTATTTATTTATTTTTTGCTAAGGCAGATTTACAGAGAGAAGGATACAAGAAGACCTTTCTCTTCTATCCACTGATTCACTCCCCAAGTGGTCACAACGGCCAGAACTGAGCCAATCCGAAGCCAGGATCCGGGACCTGCTCTGGGTAATTCATGTGAGTTCAGGATCCCAAGGCTTTGGGCTGTCCTTTCCTGCCCTCCCAGGTCACAGGGAGGGAGCTGGATGGGAAGAAGAGCAGCAGGGACATGAACCAGCACCCACATGGGATCCTGGCTCTTACAATGCTAGGACTTTAGCCAGAAGGCTATCACACTGGGCCCACCTCTTACTATTTTTACCTACACATTTTACTGCAGATTCTATCTTATCATTCATTTTAGTTCCTGAGAATAAGGCAAAACTGACTGCATTTCAGGCTTCTAAAATATCCACAACGCAATATGCTTTTGCAAAGCTCTGCCTGCATTCTTTCCCTTCAGAAAATCCTATCACCTGCATGCCCCATCTGCTTCCAACTGTGTCCAGCCCACTGTCCTGTAGCTCTCTCAAATGTTACTTGTGTTGGGAACCCAAGCATTACCTCTGATTTGACCATCTGATGTGACCAATATTTACCCTTATGTTTATGTAAAAAAAAAAAAAACCTTCCAAGATTTATACTAACTCTTCAAAGCCAATCCCGGGTCACCATCTCTTCTCTCTACAGTGACTTTGTCCACAATCTAGGTTGGCTTTGCTAATCTGAGTTTTAAGCTTGGTACAGCATTTGGTCACCACAATGCCCTTTGCATAAAGCCATGGATTCCCTTAGCTGCTTCTGTGCTGTTTACCTGTGGCCAACATCTCTTCTCTGGAAACCCCTGACTCTATGCCATGGCTTTTTTCTTGTTTCCCTGTATCCAATTTCTGCACTTCAAGGGCTTCCGTGTCCTCATCTGACCTGCCTCAAGGTTCCCTACCACCGTGACAGTAGTTATCCACTCACCTACGAAAGGACACCTTGGGTTCACACAGGTTTTAGCCAGAAATGCATAAGTACGTTGCATATATTTCAATACTGGATTAATGCACATAATAGTTTCACACCAGTTAGATAGACAATATAGGAAGAACCAGGCAGAACTGAACTGATTATTGTAGACTTTATCACAACACATCCAGATGCTTTAAAAAATGCCTTTAAACATTCTGAAAAAACAATGAGATTTTTAGATATTTTAATATTCTTTCAAACCATAGGCAAAGCCATATACACGTATTGTAACATCTTAGAGATGCGTAGTACATCTATATCAGTTTTAATCTGCATTTTATTAGTGCACAACTCATTCATCTCATAATTCCCAAGTTTAGCAAAATTTATTTGGTTATTTCTAATTTGTCTGATATTCAGTATAAAAATAATTCTGCATTTACTTATTCAGTTTAGGTTGGAAAATTTATCACCTTATTGTTGAGTTTCACAAATTATTGAGAATTTCTGCCTTTAGCTTCTGTAGATACATGTTTTGCATATAATATCTTTGAATAGGGATGTATTTTCTATTGTTTGAACAACCTGTTTTGAACACAGGGCATTTTTCACATTATGTTCACATTATGTTTTCTGAGTCATGCATTAATGTTATGTAAAAAGAATCATTGTATTTTTAGAACTTTTCTCCTATATGTTCTACTAGAATTAACTTTTTAAAAAAATTTACATAGATGTTCAGTAAGTATGTTAAGAAAGACTGTATGTCAGGTAAGAGAGCCTATTTTTCTTAAACATATTTATCAATCTGTACCATTATCATTTTTTGGAAAGACTACACATTCTGCAAGGAATTACCTGTTGCAAACAAACAGCTAAATAATTACCTAACTCTCTTTTTGCTGCTCCCTTTACCTCCATATCTATTCTTCACTATCTCCTAATTATTACAGCTTTATAATAACACATGAAATAAGGAACTGTAGATTCCCCATTTGATCTTACCTAGTATGTGTATGCCGCATACTTTGCTGAGATTTTAACGGGATTGTATTGAATATAATGGTCCAGCCCGGAAAACTGATGTCTTCATAGTTTTGTGCCTTTCACTCATTGAAAAAAAAACACATATGTACTTTGAGTTGGAATTCCTTTAGATAACATGCAATCATTTTCTCCACACACAAGTATATAGATTTTCTTGATGTATACGTCATTCTTCCTCTTCTCCCATCTTTTTATCTTTTCATTTTTATGTATTTCATATTATTTTGATTTGAAGTTTCGACTGATCATTGCTAGTTTTTCCTAATTTCCTGTAATCTTCCTGGTGTCCATGAGTATGATCATTTCTTTTAACTTTCAAAATCGCAGTGAATTTCTACATTTTAACGATTTAGAGCAGAGTATGACATGACTGCATGACTGTTACTTAAGCAGATGTCTCCACTGTCCTGTCCTGTGTCTCATGCCAGCACAGGGACTGCTAGTCCACTCTTTCTACCCACTGTGGCTTGCATGCAGCCACTAGGTGGAGGGGACAGGAAGCACTGCAGGGTGTCTCTCAGTTTTCCTTACTCCTGCAGTGTACAATTATACCTTAAACATTAAAATACCTTCTCAACACCATTCCAAAATGTAAAATGTACAAGTACATGTTAAAAAAAAAACTCAGAGGAAGAGAGAGCTGAATCATGTAGCGGTGCGCTCTCAACCTCCTGAGTCGTGAGCAGGCAGCCTCAGATGGGTGTGAACCTTGCTCAGACCTGTGCCATGGCCACTGAACCCTAAGGACCAGAGCCTTGCTGCAGCAAGCTGCCGCTGTGGTGATGAGACGACCCGGGGCCGCGTCTGCTGCCCAGAGCGGAGGGATTCCTTAGGCAGTAGAAAAGGTCTCTCTGGAAAATTGAGATGTTTTATTACCACATCTTCACTTGGTGTTTCAGCAACCCTTACTTTATAAAAGCATCCAAAAGCTTTGTAAAACACAATTCTTCATTGAAATTAGGCAATTGGATCTTAAGTAGAAGGTTTCCTTTAAGAACTAAATAAGCAAAAATATGCAAAACTCCAACATAGCCCCATTTTTTTTCTTTTAGATAGTTCAGTATCAAAGGGCTGGTAACTGTCCTCCTTATTATGCCTCATAACTATCACTTATCTTGCAGTCTATAATAATAGCAGTTCTTCATTCAGGCAGGACTTGGGAAGTGTTCCACATAGATTGGCACAAATTGCAAGATACTGGTGTTCATAACGATAACAGGACAGCATCCCAGCTGATGCCTGGGACACGGTGGGTCCTCAGCACATCTGCTTGTGAGCCTAAACTAACTCAGCAGAGCACCTCACATCGACTCATGATCAGGCTGATCGATGCCCTGTGCTCACGTCACAGTGTCATCCGCCACCACAAATCAACCTCTGACATGAAGCAGTGCTCCAACGAGTAGCCACATTATCTCAAAGAAACTGCAGCTCACAGGAGTGCACTATATCAACTCCAGGGGGCATTTCCTGTTATCAAATTCCATTAAATCTTCAAAAGCGTGAGATCTATACTGGTCAAGAGCCATAACGCCAGCTCTGTCCCACACACACCACTTAACTTCTCATAATAAAGATTTGTAATAAAGTGTTCTCTTCACATGAAAACAACAGTTAGAAACATCCACACCAGGGCCCAGTGTGATAGCCTAGTGGACAAATCCTTACCTTGCAAGTGCCACAATCTCATATGGGCTCCGCATCATGTCCTGGCAGCCCCACTTCTCATTCAGCTCTCACTTTGTTGCCTGAGAAGGCAGCGGAGGATGGCCCTACGCTTTGAGATTCTGTAGCCACAGGGAGATACGGAAGATGTTTCTGGCTCCTGCATTCAGATCAGCTTAGCTCAGGCCCTGGCGGCCAGTTGTCCAGCGGAAGGAAGATCTTTCTCTCTGTATCTCCTCCTCAATGTAGATCTGCGTTTCCAATAAAAAAGATAAATCCTTAAAAATCAATAAAATTTAAAAAAATAAAAAAGACCCATAGCAAGTTGAGGAGTTAGGAGGAAGAAGCAGCATTTTCCAATAAGAAAGAAAGGAAGGAAGGAAGGAAGGAAGGAAGGAAGGAAGGAAGGAAGGAAGGAAGGAAGGAAGGAAGGAAAAGAAAAAAGAAAAGAAAAGAAAAGAAGGAAGGAAGGAGAAAGAAAGAAAGAAGTAAAGAAGGAAAGGAAGAAAGAAAGGAAGGAAGGAGAGAAAAGAGAGAGAGGTAGAGAAAGAAAGGAAGGAAGGAAGGAAGGAAGGGGAGGGCAGGAGAGGGAAAGGAAGGAAAGGAAAGGAAAGGGAAGAAGGGAGGGAGGGAGGAAGGGAGGAAGGAAGGAAGAAAGGAAGGAAGGAAGAAGAAAGAAAAGGAGGAAAGGAAGAAAAAGGAAGAAAGGAAGGAAGGAAAGAAAGGAAAGAAAGAGAAGAGAGGCGAGGAGGAAGGAAGGAAGGAAGGAAGGAAGGAAGGAAGGAAGGAAGGAAGGAAGGAAGGAAGGAAGGAAGGGAGGGAGGAAGGGAGGGAGGAAGGGAGGGAGGAAGGAAGGAAGGAAGGAAGGGAGGGAGGGAGGGAGGAAAAGAAGCACACTCTTGCAGGTCCCTTCTACAAGCCTGGGCTGCAGACCCCACTTGTCAGGCATCTCTCCCCGAACTCTATCTCCAAGTCCTTCTTCACCGTGATTCTGGCGTTTGGGCTTGCATCTCAACTTCACTGTCTCCATTCCTCCTCCCACACACCTTTGGGACAGGATAGGGGTAGGACAGGACAGGGACAGCAGAATTGGGTGCTCCACGATTGGTCAGTATGTCCTGCCCAACACAAACCTCAGTCCCATGACCGTACAGGGAGCCAGGAAGGGGCAGCAGGAATAGAAGCATCAGGCACCTGACTTCCCAAGGCTGTTCCGGCTACATACATAAGTCAATGTAAAACTCCAAACAGGAGCCCTGTTTCAGTGAGCTATTTAACAGCAGGTCAGCAAGCAGAGGGCCTCCCCCTGCAGAGAGCTCCTCTGGTATTCCCAAGCCCAAGGACTCTTTCTATGACGACAGACCCTGAAGAAGGAAAAGTGTCTCTGGCGCTCACAGTGGAAGCACACACTGGAAACTCCAACAGTCAACATGAACACAGCTCACATAGTACAGCCAATCTGATTCTCTGTCGCCCTTATCTCCATGACCCGCAAACCCTCGTGCTTTGATTCTTTCAAACAGTATTTGATAATACACAGAATAATAAAATATCTTGAGCTTGCGGTATCTTTAACCCATATTATCACATACCTATCCCTAAAAAACTCCCCTCCGATTCTAGCTATGATTGTGCATCTCTATAAGATGGAGGAAGAGATCAGAGGAAGGAAATCAGAGGCTAATCCTGGTAGATGGGTGATAACAAAGGGAGGAAAAATAGCTGGACCAGCACAGAGGAATTTTGAGTCTTTTACCTCCCTTTATACATTGGGGTGGGGGAGGTGCTGTGTGATGGAACAACTTCTGTTATTTGGATAAAACATTGCATTTTATTTCAAAGAAAGGCCTCAAAATAATCCAGCTGGTGTCACCTGACTGGTAAAAGTCCCTAGAATCCAGCTGTAGGCCAAGGATGGGAGAAGCAAGTGTGACGAGCAAAGAGCCTTCCTGCAGAATCTGGGCTTGGGAAACGCTCCCTGAGTGTTTCACAGCCTTGAGAACAAGACGAGAGCTGCTGTGCACTGAAAGGACATCATGCAAGTGCCCGCCCACTGGTCCCTGGTGCAGGGACTCGGCATGTCCAGTCCGGACACAAAGGTGGTTAAAGAATCATCAACAAATGCACAACAGGACAGAGTACCCAGGGGACTCATGCATGGATTCTAGTCCAAGGCAGCAGGTAAGAGCTACATTGGGAGAAGAAAATACTTAGCCCCCTCCTTTCAAAAGCCCACCAGCACAGGGAAGCATTTTGGCTATTCCCTGAAGCAGAAATCTCATTGGGCACTTCCCTTAAAGATGCTCAGTTATCAGATTATGTGCCACATATTTCTAAAAACTCTTCTCAATTTTAAACAATGTGCTTACTAACTAAATAGCAACACGGGGAGTGAGCCCCCAAGGATCGCCAGTCACCCTGACACCAGGGGCCTCACTTTACAAGAAAGCTTCAAAACATGGTCATCCACTGACAGCCTCAAACACGCTACATGGCCACATGAGTCCCTGGAGCCTGGAGACTCATCTGAAGACCTTATTATGCTGAAAACAAGTTTGCAACAATTTTCAAGGCCACATCTCAATTACCCCATTGTGGGAGCTTCTCCCTGGGAGAAGGGCACTTTCTCCTCTTGCCTTTTCTTTCTTATGCCCTCCTCACACTTCTACAGACTCCAGCAAACCAGTTACTGTAGAAATCCAGAGCTGATACGCTCCCAAGGCCAAAAACCTCAGGTTTATAAACAGGGAAAGTCAGCTCGCCCTCTTGTTCAAAACAACATGTATTGTCACAGCATCGGTGCACCACTGAGGCTACCGTAAAGAACCAGAAAAAGCCAAGCTACTTTTGCCTGAATATTTCTGTGGTTTAGCACTGCAGGCAAATCTAGACGAACGCAGCTCCAATCCCCCTCCCAAACAGGAGACCTACACTACCTTCAGCTGACATTTTCCCTTTGCAAAGCAACAAAGGCAATGGTAAGAGTTGTGATTCCTGCTGAGAGAGACTGAAGACAAAACTTGAGGAAGGCCAAACAGATCTCCAGCTATTTCTCCACAGCTGGACAAGTCGCAGGTGCTATAAAGTCTTGGAGGAGCCAGCCAAGCTCCTAGGGTCCCAGCTGCCAAGCCTGATCACAGCTTCGCCTCTGACCAGCAGCATGCTGTATGGGGGCCGCATGGCACTCTCTCCCGGGATCACCTTCCCCACCCAGCAGGCCGCCTGAGCCTCCGCGGAGCCCACCGGCCCAGCTGGAAAGTCCAGGGCGTACCCTGGGGAAGGAGGGCCTTGCTGCAAACACCAGGTGGGCCTGGACTTACTAAAAAAGCACAGGAGTCCAGCGGTTTTTCTGCGCCCACCTCTAGCTTGCCCTGCTAGTCCTGTTCCCGTGTCGGCGCCATCCCCGCCTGTACCGCTAAGTAGAACGCATAAAGGGGAGCTTGAGCAGGGCACACGGCCCGGCGGGCACGGGGAGCCTTGGGGGCGTCGGTCAGGGACAAGACGGCCCGGGTCCCTACCCCGCTCCCGCCCCGACCCCTCCCCAAGGCCCTGCCCCTGCCGGGGGGCAGCAGCCCGCATCCCCAGAAACGCGCCAGGAAAGTTGAGTCGGGTCTAATCCCACAGCCGCTCCAGCACCCCCACCTCTCCCATGCACCCGCGCCCCTGCACCCGCGCCCCTGCACCCGCGCCCCTGCCCGGCTCTGTACTTGCCGTTCAATCCCGCGCACCGGGCTCTCTTCCACGCACCAGCAGAGCAAGGCACAGCGCAAGCGGCAGGGGAAGCGGAGGGCGGGCAGATCCCTGCGAGGCCCGCGCTCGCCGGGGAAGGCGGGGCGCCGTCTCTGCCCCGGCTCTGGTCGGCGAATGACCCCGCTCCAACGCGGCCGGAGCGCACACGGGCACGTAGGGCACGGAGCACTGGAGGGCACGCGGGAACTCTGGGAAATGAAGTCCGCGCGCAGGGCGCACGCAGGCAACACACCTGCTGCTGCTCACCAGGGGGTGGAGCTTCCAGCGGAAACCTGGGACAATTACAAGGTGTTTGTTTTGTTTACAGCCTCCCCACACCCGCCCCACCTCTAAATTCCAAGGATGATTCCAGGCTCTTCTTCCATTACAGAACAAATAACTGTAACAGCGACACCTGCTGCTTCTGACTGAGGATCACATCCTGGCTGCCTCATAACCTGCCCTATTCCTGCAAAGCATCTCTGCATCTTTACCTGTAAGAATCAACTAATGAATCAACTAATAAACTCATGGTGAATGAATGCGCTAACAATTCTGGAGGGGTTGCAGGTTAGCATTCAAATGCGATAGTAAATTTTTTTATTTATCTTTTAGTTCTTTTAAAATATTTTTATGCCATCTTTAGCTTATGAAGTGTGGAAATATAAACAGGAATGGTGGATAGAAAATTAGCATACCTGATTGTCTTCTAGAAGCCATGGTAGTGGACTAAATGCCTTTTATTATCTCATTAAATTCTCAGGCTACTTCTGTCAGTAGTTTACATGAGGACGATTTGCTGGAAAGGGTTTTGTAATTTCTCCTTGTCAGTAGGAGAAAGGCAAACAAAAATCTGATACAGGTTTAAGAAATAATTCTTTAATTTGTGACTCAGATTTCTCACCTCGGGGTGGAGGGTGCGGCTGGGGGGGGGAATGTGAGATGAAGAATACTGTAAATGATAATCCACACCAAAATAATCACAAAGACTAGCAGATTGTGTCAAAAGGGAGGCGACTGAAAACTTCATTTAAAACATTTTTATCTGAAAGGTATATTTTACGGAGAAAAATGTTCAGATGGAGAGAGAAGTTCTCCCACGAGTTCATTCCCCAAATGGCCACAATTGCCAGGAACCAGGAGCTTTTCCAGGTCTCCCATGGTGGTGCAGTGGCCCAGGGTCTTGGTCCATCCTCCACTGCTCTCCCAGCCATTAGCACAGAGCTGGATAGGAAGTGGAGCAGCCAAAGTACAAACCAGCATCCACATCAGGTGCTGGCACCACAGGAGGGAGAATGCCACCACACCAGCTT